GCATTCTTCAACAAAGGAAAAGCAATGAATTTCCCATTCATATTATTATTCCCCACAGAACAAGGTTAGGATAATTATCTTTGCTTTTCTTTGTATTCTCACTTGGCATTCTTTGTTTCTCTTAAAAAAAAAAAAATTCCCTTTCATAATTCATGCCTAAAAAAGAAAAATGGGAATAAAACTCAATGCATATGTCTTTTCATGCTTTGTCGTCCGTGATCTAAGGAAAAAAACAAAAATCCTCGTACTAAGATAGGCAACTGACAAATAATGTAATAGTTATGTTTGTTTTATTTAATTTTATTGGTTTATAATTTTTTTAAATAGTTAGTTAGAATAATTAATTTATAAATTAATTTTAATATATTAAATAATAAATAATAATTATTTTATTAACTAATATTTTCAATTATTAATTATTTTTCATGATCAAATTATAATTTTTGTAACCTTAACAAAAAAAACAAAAAAGTATAACAATAACTATCTCCACTAACAACTGTTAATTACATAGACATATATATTAGAAAGAATAAATTAACCTTAATTACTATAATTAATCATGTGGTACAACATCATGAACCCTTTAGCATGACAATTACTTTGAAGTCAAATACAAGAGTAATGTAAACTTAAAAATCAATCCATTTTGTAACATAAACATGCCAAAATAATATGATTTCTTCTTTTTAACTGTGACAAATTTGACTAAGTGTTGGATGCTTAAAAAAGAAGTCTTCCCCTTCATCGATCACCTTTAACCTTTAACCTTTAACAAATCAAAATTAAAAAGGAAAAGATGAGAAAGAGAGAAAGAGGAAGCTTCTCTTTAAGTGGTCTATGAAATGGGGTACAACACGTTAGAAAGCTTACCCATGCAATCATTTGAATTAGGGGTATCCAACGTTCCAAACTGCCTCTTCTTCATTTCAAAAATGAAAATCTAGTACTACATTTTTTTTTAATACCTTGTTGGTTCCCTTGAAGAATGTGCTTTTCATTGTGTGACCTGTATGGGCTTAACAAATCCCAATTTCCTCAGGTGAATCTATATTGACATTTGCCACCCACCATTATTTATTATCCCTCACCAAACCCCACATTTGCTGGAAAAAGATAACCTGTGTGACCAACTCCATTTTACTCTTATTAACAATCAATCAATTAATACCATGTATATTCTTCCTTCTTCATAAAAAAAAAATAATAATAAAGTCTTAAATAGTACTGTAAATTTTTTATGGGTTTGGATGATATTCATAGACACATTTCTTCTTTTTTTTTTTTTTTTTCGGTGTTAAGTTTGTATCCTTAATTATTTCAGTCGTGAATTTAAGCCCATCAAATTGGATTAATTGATGTTTATTTTTAGGGTATAAAGAAGAGAAATGCAATGAAGATTGAAGATGCATGCCTAAATTCATGAAGAAACCAAAATGCCCTACAAAAACCATCATACATTTTAGATTCATTCATAGTCCAAAAAACAAAAAAACCTTCATAAAGCAAAACCTTTCCCTTTTCCCCCTCTCTCTCCCTCCCTCCCTCCCTCCCTCCCTCCCTTCATTTTGGCCGGAGATCCTGCCGTCGGTCCAACGATCAAAATGGGTCCCCCCACCTAATATGTCACCTCCTCTTCATGCCACGTGGAAGCCATATCACCAAGTCAATACCCAACACCTAAATGCTGCCGTTAAGACACTGAAGTGGAGTCGTTGGCTTCCATTTATCTATTTGAGTGAGGCATAAGCAAAAACCGCAAACACACACTAACGTTTCAATTTCATCGTCCTTCATTCTTCCCACCTATATATATACAGACACCAAAAAGCAGAGGAGCATTTAATAAGGAAACGGGAAACTCGCTTCATCTTCCTCTTCTCTCTTCTGGGGTTGGTCCAATCAAATTGAGTTTTCAGTTTTGGATCCAGTGAACTCCTCAGCTTTCACTCATTTTCTTCTTTTCTGTTTCTTCCCCAGGATTTCAAGAAACCCTTTTAGAGGTACAGTCATCACATTCACAAAAACGTGTTTTTTCCCTTCTTGAGTTTCACTAAAGGAAGGACCTTTTTGCAGAAAGACAGTGGTCTTAGTTCTGTCCCGTTTTTTCTTTCCGAGGTTTAAGAGTGGTTTAAAGTACCTACATAGACTTGAATGAAAATTTGTGATTTTATGTATGTTTGTTTTTGCAGGGATCATAACGGTCTAGGAGGTTCTTTCATCTTTGTCTTAGAGAAAGTTTGCAGAAAATGCCTCAAGAAACGAACTTTAATTCTATCTTTACTTCTCCTTCCAAGAACATGAGAGGGTTAAAGGCGTTGGTATCCAACACTGAGTCTTCACAGGCTGAGGAGATCATCAATGACCTTGAATTGGCTCAAAGAAAAGCAGAAGAAGCAGGTAACTTTTTACTTCTATCTGTTCTTTAACACTAGCTAGAATCATCCAACTGTGATCATCAATAAGAGAGAAAGGTGAATCTTTCTCTTTCTTCAATGTCTAGCTTCATATGCTGCACAGTTAGAATGGCTTTATTCTATTAAGTTCTCTACTCCCTAAGTTCATTAAGAAATTCACTACTCCTTTTGGGGTTTCACCTACTAATTTTATTTCATAAGGGAAAGGAGAGAAAAGAAGTGTCTGCTGCATCATGATCCAACGCAAAACGCGGGTGACCCAATAGTTTGAAAATGTTTTATTGTCTTCTTATGTAGTGCTGACTTGGGTCCACCAATGGAGAGTTAGGTCCATTTCTAGATACCTTGTTCTAGTTATTGCCAGGAAAATGTTTCATAATATGTATTTAGACCCACTTCCATAATGAGATATTGCAACTAATGATGGACAATGTCCCTCTGATCTCTCCCTTTTCTATTCTTTTCACTGCTTTTGTGGCTAATAGGCTAAGCAATAATGGGAGAATAGCTCTTTTTTTTTTCTTTTTTTTTTTTCTTTCTTTCTTTTTTTCATTTTTTCTTTTGGTTGGATTAATGAAGATGAGAACCGTTAAGAAAGAAGAAATAGACATGGTGTCTACATGTTTTGTTTGCATTCTTCATTGCGTATGTATGCATCATTAGTCAGCATGGTGTGGGACAATGGGGTAGCAAGAAGGTTAATGGGGCTCCTATTTTTAGTGCCTTTTGGGAACCATGCTGGACCATAAATAAAGGAGCAGTGCTTATTAGGGGCTTAAAATTTTAGTTGGGATCACATGGTCAGTGGGACACTTGCATCATAACAAAGGAGTAAAAGATCAAAACTCGAAGCTGTTTTAGTGGATGTAGATTTTAACAACATTTTATCAGGATTAAAGGCATATATCGGTGTCCAGTAGTTAGCTGGACACTATGTTGACAATTGACACCATGTGTTCTGGATCATAATTCATGACTAGGTGTTTGATTTTCTTTCTCAATTTGTTGGACTGATGTAATAAATAGTAATGTGAATTTGAGTCATTGGTTAAACCTCGATGTTCAAAGAAATTCAGCTTGTTAATAATAAAGTTAACTAGATCAATTCTTTATTTTAATCAGCTTCTAGGAGATATCAAGCAGCAGAATGGCTAAGGCAGATGGACCAAGGCGCAACCGAAATCCTGCCCAAAGAACCCTCAGAGGAAGAATTTTGCCTTGCTCTTCGCAATGGGCTTATTCTCTGCAATGTCCTCAACAAAGTCAATCCTGGAGCTGTTCTAAAGGTTCTCATTATAATGTAGCAAGAAAAAACTGCCTTAATTCTGTAATAGTTTATACAAAGTGGATCAGAATTAAATATTTGAGATGGATAGCTCTAGTGAGAACTTGGAATGATTCTCCTAAATTTGAGCCTGTTTTTGTTTCTTTCAAAAATAATACAGATAGTAGAAAGTCCAATAATCACAGTCCAATCAACTGAGGGAGCAGCACAATCTGCCATTCAGTATTTTGAAAATATGAGAAACTTCCTGGTAGCCGTTAAAGAAATGCAGCTCTTGACCTTTGAAGCATCTGATTTAGAAAAGGTTTGAGGTTTTCTTGAAATGTTCATCTTAATTGCATATAAATTATTTCAAGATACTAAGACAAAGCATTTCATCTTCTATCTCTGCAGGGGGGGTCAATGAATAAAGTTGTAGATTGCATTCTGTGTTTAAAAGGGTATTATGAATGGAAGCAAGCAGGTGGAATTGGAGTGTGGAGGTATGGAGGGACTGTGAAGATTATGTCCTTTCCTAAAGGGTCTTCTCCCTCCTTAGTTGGAAGTGAAAGTGCTGATGAATCTTTTGATGATTCTGAATCATCACAATATGAACAACTATTGGAATTCCTCCATTTCTCTGAAGAGGTTGCAATTGAAGAAACCAAAACAGCGAATGCCCTGGCCTTCCTATTTGATCGATTTGGGCTGTTGCTTCTACAGGCTTACCTTAGAGAGAGTAATGGGCTTCAAGAATTGCCCTTGAATGCCATGGTAGGTAAGATCCATCCCATTTGTTTTCTTAAACATGCTCATCAATGTTATGTCCACGGGCAAATGTCTAAAAGTAATTCTTTGTGAAACTTTGCAGGTAATAGATGCCTTATTGAGTAAGGTAGTTAAGGACTTCTCAGCATTGCTGGTTTCACAAGGGACTCAGGTAGTGGAAACTTTTGAGTTTTACTGCTTATTATCATTTTCTGTAAATTGTTGTTGGTCTCTTTTCCACAAAAATATGTTACAAGACCTGTACTCACTAGATTACTATAACCTATCATTGTTTTGCACTGTTTTCTGCAGCTTGGATTATTTCTCAAGAAGATACTGAAAACTGATATTGGTTCTCTATCAAAATCTGATTTCATAGAAGCTATCTCACAGTATCTTGGTAAAAGAATAGACCTGGCATCAACTGATTTCTCCAAATTTTGTATTTGTGGTGGGAAACGAGAGGTGAAGCGAGAGGTTTTCCATACTGTTATCCACTCTCCTGCTTATGGAGAACTTATCGATCACCAGCAAAGACAACTTGAGGTTTGAATTCCTTCCCTTCAAAACTGGATGATATGTGTTACTAATTTTTTAACATTTCTCAACCATGTTTATGGTAACCTGTTGCTTCTATTTATTTTGGACACTTCTAGGAGATTAAATTAGATTTCCAAGACACAAAATGTGAAGTCAATCAAATTCTTTCAAATTGGGAGGAAGAAGTTAAAAGGCTAGGTAAAATCTAGAATCTTGTTCTACTTTGGGATCTTTCCATTGTCATGACTAAAAAATTCTGTATTGTGTTATGTTAGAGCATCATATCAAGGGTCTTGAAGTGGCATCCTCTTCTTACCACAAGGTTTTAGAAGAAAACCGCATACTTTACAATCAAGTCCAAGACCTCAAAGGTATGGCACCCTTTTTCCTTGTTTCAAATCATCACCCCCCCCAACCCTCTTTCCCTTTGTACATAACTATAGAACTCCTCTCTTTTATGCTCTTGATGCAGGAACCATTAGAGTTTATTGTAGAGTGAGACCCTTCTTACAAGGACAACCAAATGGACAATCAACTGTGGATTATATTGGAGAAAATGGAAATATTATGATTGTCAATCCTTTAAAGCATGGAAAAGATGCAAGAAAAGTGTTCTCGTTCAACAAAGTATTTGGACCGACTATCTCACAAGGTACTTTTCTTCTCATGGTCAGCTCTTAATAATCCACTTTACAAATGCTAGAGACAATGAGTTTGCAGCCATCTATATCTATTTAACAAAAGAAATGGTTTCTTCATGGGTTTCTAGCCATTAGACAAGATGATATTACTTACATATGTGCAGAGCAAGTATATGTGGACACTCAACCATTAGTCAGGTCTATTTTGGATGGTTATAATGTCTGCATTTTTGCATATGGACAAACTGGCTCTGGAAAGACATACACCATGGTATCATCCTATTTTATTTGCCAATAATCTGGTGATTTTCTGGCATTGTCCCAAACTTCAACTTTATAACCAGTATTGCATATTGTTATCTGTTTTTAATAGAGTGGCCCTGATTTAACCACTGAGCAAACCTGGGGTGTAAACTACCGTGCATTGCGTGACCTATTTCAAATGTCAAAGGAGAGAGCTGATGTTGTACATTATGAGGTTGGAGTGCAGATGATTGAAATATACAATGAACAAGTGAGGGATCTATTGATCACTGATGGCTCTACTAGAAGATATCCTTTTGAAAATACCTGCTTGTTCTTGTAGTTGAATGGACAATGTTTATAAACTTTACTTCATGGGTTTGATTTCTGTGATTCACCTTAACCACATGCACATTAGACATACGAAACAATTCTCAGTTAAATGGCCTTAATGTGCCTGATGCAAGTTGGGTTCCGGTTTCTAGTACACAAGATGTTCTTGAGTTGATGAAAGTTGGGCAAAAGAATCGTGCTGTTGGTGCTACTGCTTTGAATGAGCGAAGTAGCCGTTCTCACAGGTGTGATATTATCACTGAACAATTATTCTCATTCGTGTTAATCAGGTGGTTATTATGTGATATTGACATCTTTTCTTCCACAGCATTTTGACCGTTCATGTATATGGGAAGGAGTTGGTTTCGGGATCCATTCTAAGAGGTTGCCTCCACTTGGTGGATTTAGCTGGAAGTGAGAGAGTTGATAAATCCGAGGCTGTAGGTGAAAGATTGAAGGAAGCTCAACACATCAATAAATCACTTTCTGCCCTTGGAGATGTCATTTCTGCTCTTGCACAGAAGAGTGCACACATTCCTTACAGAAACAGCAAGCTCACCCAAGTATTACAGGATTCTTTAGGTATGTAATTATTTTTGAGCTGTTTGATCTTAGTCTTCATGATTTCCCTCTGAAATGTTTTCTTCTTCTTCTTCTTCTTCTGTCTTCTCATCATTTTCTTTTTATATATGATAGGTGGCCAAGCAAAAACATTGATGTTTGTACATATAAGTCCCGAAGTCAATGCTGTTGGAGAGACTATTAGCACCCTGAAGTTTGCTGAGAGGGTTGCCTCCATAGAGCTTGGTGCAGCTCGATCTAACAAAGAAACTGGTGAAATCCGAGAACTTAAAGAAGAGGTTGGTTTTAAATTGCTTAATGATAATTCTTTATGTTACCTTTTGGATGAAAACTGTTGTAACCTCCTTTGCTGTGACAAAACCATATTAAATATTCTTTTCCCATTGTAGATATCAAATCTTAAGCTTGCATTGGAGAAGAAGGAAGCTGAGATAGAGCAGTTGAAAAGTGGTAATGCTCGGAACATGATAGATACACAAAGACAAAGAGCAGTTTCCCCTTTCCGTCTTCCAAAATATGGGACAACTGCAAGCAGTAAACCAGAAACATCCCAAAGACCTAATGATGATGGTAGAATCCCTGAGGTAACTGAACAGATGAGTCCACGTGTTCTTCAAATTTGGATTGAACTTTGGCAGCATGGTGGATAATGGATGCATATGTGTTTCTTTATGGTTATATTTTATTTTCAGGTGAGAAGCTGTTCTTCAGGCAAGCAGAGGAGGTCAAGATTTCCTTCTGCACTTGCCGACAAGGAGATATTTCCAAAGATGCCTCCTCTAGCTGAGGAGAGATTGACAAGCTTGGGAAAGCCAAGGTCACCATCGCCTGTGAGGAGATCTTTGTCAACAGATAGAGGAGCCTCACTCAGAAGCAAGGTCAAGGCTGATACAGTGGAGAACCAACCTATCTCCAAAGTACCCTTTCCTGCTAGAATACCTGTTAATAAATCTGTTTCCACAATACCAGCAATCCCTTCATTGGATAACAACTCAAAGATTCATTCGAGTTCACAAGAGCCAGCCAAGCAAGATAGTATTTTGGATGCATTTTACGGCCTCCAAAAATTCAGCTCTAGGAAGGGTCATCAAGAACATGAAGAGGAGCAGTTCAGGCAAGCCCTTAATATAAAGCAAGGTGGAATTAGGAAAAGCAAGCCTGAGAGTAAGGCTAAAGCAAAGCAACAACTACCATCTATGTTCCAGAGATCTGATATGGGAGTGACTTTGCTTTCTAACATGGATGCTGGTGAAAAGATGGAGGAGCCTCGAAAGAGTGACTTTTCTGAGCCTGAAAGTGAACAAATCCTTGTTGGATCAGTAGTGAATGGTTCCTTGAGAACAAATAAGCTTAGACAAAACTACTCAAGGAATTCTCAAAATCTTGAACCAAGGTATGCTTATACTTTTACCTAGTGCTACAAGAAAATTAACTAGTTTTCTTTCAGTGATTAAGGTACATATGTCAATTATCATATCCTTGTCCTACTAGTTAACAAATGTGGCATCTATATGCAGGGGACCAGTGCAAGCAGTAGAACAACCGTTGGTTGCTAAGCTTGACAAGTATCCAAATGGAGTAATTCGACAAGGAAAGGAAGGTAGCAACACATCAATGCCTGAATTCAGGAGAAGTCGATCTTCACCTCGCGGGAAGTTTTTGATTTTGCCTTGAGGAGTTCACACCTGTACACAAATGAGTATCTGTACCTCTGATGCTTTTGAGTTGTGTACAGTGACTATTTGAGTTGACCTTTCCAGCTTGCATTGTTATTTCTCATTGTGGTATGTGAAGAGTCCACTGGAGGTGATTTTGTGTAACCTTTTTCTTTTTTAACACCATGGTTAAATCCTCCATTATCTCATTTAAGTGATCCGTCATGACTCAATATATTTGCTACTTAACCTGCATTTTAGTGTCTATACTATCCTTGAAGAAATGCAACACCCTTAAATTCACAAGAAGCTCAGTTCACACTCTACAGCTCTACTGATCTGTTTGGATTCTAGTGAAAGGACATCACTTTTGCAATGTATCGAGCGCTTTTCTTAGTTTGTGATTTGCAGACTACTATGTCATATTATTATGATGTCTGATTAGTTGATTAAGATGTAAACTTTTCTGCTGCCATTGCTTGCTTTCACAGGGTGTTTTTTCTGGAAGTAGCTGAAAAGTTGATAATTGTGAAGCACTTTGTTTTCCTCTATGAAGCTTCTTAAAGTTTTTCTTTGGGAAATTTTTTGCCAGTTAAATTAAAGAGGAAGAGTTTCTATACCCCAGTACTGTTTAAATCAAGTCCAGTTCTGGATTAGTAGTCTTTTTTAGAGGAAAATCTTAAAAAATCAGATTTCGGACCTTTCCATACCATAAATGTAGTGCTGGTGTTTGGGACTGTGTAACTAATGATAGACAGAGTCCCTGCACCACCCACCTCCAGGGCTCTAACCTCCACCAGCCATGTTCTGGGAGATAGTTGATGGCCTCTTTATCCATATTTTTCACCTCCATATCTACAAATACTGGGTTCTAGCTACTTGAATCTAAACGATCTCTAGTCAAATTTCCCTCTTGTTACCTTGGACTTCCCAGCATCTGACTGATCCCTTGTACTTACCGTGTCCAAGAAGCCACCAAGAATTATATTTCCAGTTCTATTATCTGAAATAGATTGATTCCGTTTCTTCGTTTTAGTCATCTTTCCTCCATTACATGCAAGGGGGATTGGATAGAAGGAAAGATTTTAACTTTTGAAGAAGATGAGGGAAGAGAGGTGAATGGAGGAAGCCTTGCTTTAGTGGTGAAAGTTATAGCAGACAAGCCACTCAACAGGTTAGGAGTCCAAGGTGTTTTCAAGAGAGCTTGGGGGGAATGGACAGATTTCACTGTGACAGAGTTGTGTGAAAACACTTACCTTTTCACCTTCAAGGAAGCAATAGAAGTAGAGAGATTCTTCAAGGAGGATCATGTTCGGTCATGGGGTACTGTGTTTGCTGCCGGAGGTGGGATCCGGAGCTTACTCCAGAACAGATGGATTTCTTTCAGGTGGCCTATTGGGTCCAGGTGCATGGACCTCCACTTGACCAAATGAGTCCCAAAAATGCAAGGAAAATTTTATTAAATTAATATTAACTCTAATAATTTAATAAGTAATAATCATTCTATAGTATTTGATTTTATTTTATACTTAAAAATTAAAATTAAAAATACAATTGATTAAAATTTTAATTTAAAAAATTAATTAATTTTAGTTCAATCATTTCAAGTTGATATGATCTAATTCAATCTAATCTTAATTTAACTAAATTGACCTAACCCAACTTTAACATAATTTAATTGGATATGAATAATTTCAATTTACAATACATTATATCAAATTTTAGATTAATACCTTACACCCATAATCCATAATCCATAAATTGCATTGAAATCTTTTGGATCAAGTTCAATTTTGTCCAGGTATATTCCTTTTATATTCTAAAAATATTAAAATTATTATTTTTTCTCAACATTTCTTTATCTCATAACCCACTTTTTTTTTTCCAATCCATTTTAATATTTCTCAAAAAGAAAGAAGAAAAAAATCTACATTCTTAAAACATTAATTTCTCACAATTTCTCAAGTATTTAAATGAATCGTAAAAATATTTGAGCTGTAATTAATACAAAAAATGTCAAAAAAAAAAATCAAAGATTAATTTGACTTAATGCTCTATTTTGTTCTCAATTTTTTTTTTTTTTTTAGACTTGTAGAATTGAGGATAAAAAAATAAGATTATCAAAACTTAAATTTTAGATTTATAAATACCACCACTTTATTTAAAAGGAGAGTTGTAACCATTAAAACACAACAGTTAGTAAAAGGTAAGCTCTTTTGACTACTACAATCCTTGTTGAACTCATCTTCTGGTAGCAGATTCTGAGCGCAGCTTCTAGACGCAGGTTTCATCTCCAGAGTTAGGGTCTAAGTAAACATCTACGTTTGGGTGTAACAGTTATATCAGTGGTCCTGGTAATGGCACAAGCCATGGCCTCTTCATTTTCAAGCCAGGCACGCTGGAATCTGATTTCTGAAACTAATGGCAATTTTAAAGGTAGAAGATATGACTCACAAAAGGAGTGCCAAAACCAATCCACCTCTGAATTCTGCTTAGAAAACAGAATAGGGTTCCAAATCAGCAGCAAATATGAATATTTCCACATGCAGCACCTTGGAAAATTTGTAAGAAATGTCACATTATAGATGTTAATGAAGGTTTTTTTTTTTAATTTTTTTTTTCTTGTTTTATGGATTGATATGCAATAGAATTTAAATCTGTACTCGCTGAATAAAAATTTATTGCACTTGATATATGATGTTGTTGTTGTTTCCTCATTCTGGCTCAAGTTGTTGAACCAAAACGAGACAATGAAAGGAGTTGGGATTGTCACTTCCAAACTCTAGTAGACCTCAAAATCTGTTGGAAGCATCAACTTTCAGACAGTAAGGTCTAAACTCAGATAAGTTACCCCCCCCAACAGGAACAGGTCTGAATTATCCTAATCGTGCGGATGTTTCTTCTTCTTGCATTGATTGTGGAACAGTTGTTTTGTTTTATTAAATGTATGTGCAAAGTAGAATGGTTTTGCTTCTAGCTCTTATCATGTGATGCAAGTTTAGGACATTACATAGAAACAGAGTCCCTTCTAAACCAAGGCAACCCAAAGGCCTAATATTTTGCTTGAAAGTCTTTTTCCAAACAGCACATGGTCAGGTCACCATGCGTGCTTTCTCCTCCCCTGTTTTAATTTAAAGACAGAGTAAAGAGAAACACAGAATACTCCTTTTTACATAAATCCTATCCTAAGTTACCAATACCAATTGACAATTGTTGTTTCAGCTCCTACATGCCCTCTAACTCCATCTCCCAAGATGTCCCTCTTTTGGTTACATCAAACATTAGTTAATTCTTCGGAAATTCCCTAAACAATCTACAATACCAGATAAAGAAGAAAAAAGGAACTCTCTAAAATTCTCATTCTGAAATTATTTCTCTGCTCTGATGGATTTTCGTATGCAATATGCACGAACTTTGTAGGTGTAGCACTTTGCTACAACTTGTAACCTCCGCCTGAAGATTGGATTGAATCATCAGAGAAAGCAAAGGAGCAGTTAGAAGATCTCTGAGAAACTACAATCCTAGCAGGAGGTGATAAGTCAGGTCCTGACAAGCCCGCTCCTCCTCCTCCTCCCTTGGAGATTTCAGAATCCGGCCTGGTGGCCTCTGCATGCCGGATCTCCTTGAGCATTGCCACCACATCTTTCATCATGGGACGGTCATCAGCTCGTGTGCTGACACAGAGAAGTGATACAGCCAGTGTCTGCAGCATTTCATGCATTGCAGGGTCAGCCCTCCCTCTTATCTTTGGGTCAAGAACCTCACCTGGGTCTCGCTTTCCAGCCAAATGTTCCCTAACCCACTGAACCAGGTGTGCACCACCTGGTAAGGTTGGGTCCAATGGATGCCTTCCCGTTAGAACCTCTAGCAGGACCACACCAAAACTGTAAACATCGCTTTTCTCTGTGATAGGCTGCAGTGATGCGTGTTCTGTATTAAGCACCAATGGTCAGTACATTTTGTAAAATCATCAAATATATAATCAAATAATCTATATTATATAACCTCAGTACTAAAGATAAGAGAAACATTACCTGGAGCCATGTATCCATAAGAACCAGCCAAGTGAGGTCTTTGGCTTGGTTTGGAAAAATCATCTTCGCCGTTGCTGTTCTTTAGAACTCTGGCTAACCCAAAATCAGCAAGAAAAGGCTCATACCTAGGACCTAACAGCACATTCATTGCTTTCACATCTCCATGAAGAATTGCAGGCACACAGTCATGGTGCAAGTACGCAAGCGCATGTGCTACTCCTAGCACAACGTCATACCTACCCTCCCAATCTGCACATCCCTTCCCAGCCCCATGAAGGAGAGAACTCAAGCTTCCATTTGGGAGGTAATCATAGAATAATAGCTTCAGATTCCTGTTCGATCCCCAGCCAAGAAGCCGGACAATGTTCCTATGCCTGATTGAGCCTAATGTCTGGATTTCAGAACTGAATGCACCAGACTCCTCTAATGACCACATCTTCTTCACTGCCAATGTTTCTCCATTAGGAACTGTCACCCTGTATACAACTCCGGAGCTCCCAGTTCCAATCACATTTGCGGAAGTCAGATTCAGGACAATGTCATCAATGGAGAAGTCCAACTTCTGATACAAAGTCACTTCCCAGTTATCATTTACCATCAGGCTATCACTAGCTATTCGAGCTCGAACCAACATGCAGACTGCTATTAGTACTAGAACTGCACTAGCGCTAACCAGGATGGAGATCACCAACTTCATAGCCTGTTTAACACGCTCACTGGGGCTGATTCTGTCATCTGGAGTTACAAGGCCGCCAGAGACATAAAGGCCTTGGTTTGATTCAAGGTCACCAAGAGGGAGCTTTCTGAAAAATGGGGTGTTGGGGAGTTGACCAGAGAAATTATTGAAGGAGACATTGAGGGTTACAAGGTTTTGCAGGCTTGCAAGAGCATCTAAGTTCCCGGTGAGCTTGTTGTGGGAGAGATCGAGTACTCCTAGTTTGCTAAGGCTGGAGAACTCTGGTGGGATCACCCCGGAAAATTGGTTGCGGCTAAGGTTGAGAGAGATTGCTAGTGCTGGAATCTGACCAAGTTCCTTTGGAATCTTACCAAAGAAGCTGTTGTCACCTAAGTTTAACAGCTGTAGCTTACTGCAGGATAAGATCTCCCGTGGAATTTCACCAGATATTTGATTCTTTCCCAAGTTAAGCTTGGTCAATTCAGTTAACGAACCAATGGTATGAGTAAGTGGGCCTGAGAGCCTGTTATCTGAGATGTCTAAGAACTGTATGCTTGTGGGAAGATTCTCAGGTAAAGAACCAGCCATCCCATTTGAGTGGAGATCAAGAAACTCAAGGTTTTGGCATCCAGAAATTGATGGAGGAATTCCCCCAACAAGGTGATTCTGGCTTAAATCAACAAAATTCAAGCTCTTTAGTTTCCCTATCTCGGATGGAATAGTTCCTTCTAGCCTATTTCCATTCAATCTTAACCTATATAGATTGGTACAGTTTCCTATATCTGGAGGTATAAACCCAGATAAATCATTGGCCAGAAGCAACAGCTTGGTGAGATTTCTCAACCCAAAAATCTCCTTGGGGATTGAACCAGAAAGGTTATTGTAGGATAAATCAAGTGCCTGAAGTTCCTGGCACTGAGACAGGCTATCTGGGATATTGCCTGTTAGCTTATTCTGCCAGGCAAAGAATATAGTCAAGCTCTTTAAGTTGCCTATAAGGAAAGGTATCTCCCCAGAAATGGCATTGTTATCAATTTCAAGATGAACCAGCTCTATGCAGTCTAAGATTTCAGAAGGAATTGTACCTGACAATTGATTGGCACTCAGCTGAAGTCCTTGAAGCTTCAAAAGGTTTCCAAAGCTTCTTGGGATGCTTCCAGTGAGAAGATTCTCAGAAAAGTCCATGGCTGTTAGCTCTGTGCAACTTCCAAGCTCATCTGGTAAGGTTCCTACTAAGCTATTCTGCCACAAAAGCAGGCTCTGCAGCTTCTTGAGCTCACCAATTCTCCGGGGGATTGGACCAGAGATGGAATTCTGGTACAAGTACAGATTCTGCAGCTCACTGCAGTTTCCAACCTCTTCGGGAATAGGACCTGACAACAATGATGTGTAGATGGCAATGGTCTGAATCCTCTTCAGCTTTCCAATGGATGCAGGAAGGCTTCCGGAAATGCTGGTTTCTGCAAGTCCTAACATAACCAGGCTGGTGCAGTTCCCTATCTCCCAAGGCAGCTCACCCTTCAGGTTTTTGTTTCCTCCTGCTCTGAAAAGTTCCAGCTTCTTCAATTCTCCAATGCTCTTGGGAATTTCACCGCTGAGCTGATTGTCATACAGTGTTAAATACGCAAGGCTGGAGAAATTTCCAATCTCAGCCGGAATTTCACCTTCAAGGAAGTTTGTGTTGAGAGCTAAACTCTGCAGCTTCCACAGCTTGCAAATTTCCACTGGTATCCCACCCGAGAGAGAGTTGTCACTGAGATCAATCAAAGTGAGCTCCTGATAATCTCCAAATTCTTTAGGAATTGTCCCAGTAAGATTGGTTGATGAAAGAATAAGGATCTTCAAGGACTTGAGGGACTGAAAATTTGAAGGCACTGACCCTTGCAAATCCACTCCCTTCAAATTTATCTCCTCCACTTCCCCATTTGAATTGCAGTGAATCCCATACCACTTGCATGGTCTTTGATCCAAGGAATTCCATGACTTCAACACATCCGTGGAGCTGTTTAGACTATTCTTCCATGCTAACAAAGCTTGGCCTTGCTCATCAATGGCAAAACAAGTATAGAACAAAAGTGTGCATAATAAAAGAAGCAAGGTGAAGGAGAAGATATTGAGAGAAAGGAGGAGATTCCTTAGAGTTGCAGGCATTGCTTAGCCTTAGAGATGATCAGAACAGTTCATCTGTTTTGGGATTGTAGAGGGTGGAACCCCATGTTTTGTTTATAGAACAAAAGGCAGAAGTTCTGGATCCAATTGCAGCTTCTTTGATTTTTTTTTTCCTAATTATTATTCTAATCTGTACAGTTTCTTAATTAAGACATGGTGATGCAGATGGCTTTGCCATTTTTTTTATGTATATAATTTTTCTGGTTATTTTTACATTCCATTCTTCTAAAATAACACATTGCTCTTAGTTTTTTCTAGGAGTAACAGTCAGCAAAGATGATGGTGGTATTAATCAAATGGAACATCAAGAAATCCCTCCTCTTGACAGTGATCGAACCCTGTCTCTTCTCTCTTTTCATTTTTTGACCCTAAACTTTTTCTAGACTGATATGATGCAGATTAAATCTCCGGTTTTGCAATCAGATTACTGCCTTTAACTAGCTTTAATTTAAGAGAATTCATGTCTTCTTTCCTATATTTTTCTGCTGTGTACATAAATTTTGGTTGAATGAAATTTACATCTAAATAAGCCATCCCAAAATGTGGTCCATCAAAAATTTTCTGTGGTCACAAATTATGAACCAGTCATGTGTTTGTTACCTGGATTCTTTCAATACCCTTTTCAATAATTTAAGCAGCTAAAGTGATTATGTTCCTCTGAAACACATATATCCAAAAGAAAAAAAATTTACTCTTAATGAAGTCAACTAAAGAAGGAAAAACCCTAGTTTTTAAAATTAAAATACAGCAAATATGAATGAAATTTTGGGATCTTTATTGTTTATTTTGTAGAAGCAGTAGGTTCATTGTACCCTTTTCAAATATATAACAAAAACCAAACTATAAAAGTCAACAGGGTTTTGGTCATTATAATCCAATCTAAAAAAAATTCAGAAAAATATAGGGAAAAAAAAACCCCTAACTTCTGTTCAAATTTTTGCAAATTTGGTTGAAATTTAGGGATCTGTACTGTACTGTTTATATATTTGCAGAAGGCAAAGATGGATGGATCTGTTTTGGTTTGTTTACATATGAATGGAGTGGATGAGAGGAATCTAATGAAATAGTGAAGAGCACATGCAATTGAAGAATTATCTGAAAAAATATGATTTGTTTAATACACTGCAGATCTGGACGAGCTGTCTGGTGGCCTTTTGCTGTAAAAAGAATGAAAAATAAAACAAAGGGAAGTGCAAACCCAAATTGGCCTTCAATGCAAAGGAACAACATTACACCAACTTTAAGAGTTCTTATTTCTTAATTACCTAATGCATATTTGTTTATGTGGAATGAAGGTCAGAATCATTTAGGTCACAGGATCAGTCTAAAAATTAAAATGTCTTGAGTATGAACATGAAAGTGAATATGACTCCCAGTGGAACTTATTGTTCGTTTGCTAAGAAAATTATAACAGAAGTAAGCACAATGCTTCTAGCCATGGTAGACAAAAGCAGTCATAATTTGTCACCTTCATCTTTGATTTACAAACAATGAATCCCCCTCCCCCAAAATTAAACAGTAAAACTTAATGGGTATTTGCTCCATAAACCCTCATAATTTCCAATGCCAGGAGTAAAATAAAATTCTTCTTTTTTAAAGGGGGAAAAAAAGCAACAGAGAGTGAAAACTAGAAGATCTATGTAGAAAAGATACAACAAGAACATCAAAAGAAGAGACAAGAAGCCAGTTAAAATGTTTGATGGGGAAATTGTATATAAACTCCTTATTGGTCCCCCTTGTTCCAAAACCCCACCTTTTTTCTTAACTTTTCTTGGAAAATTGCAACTTGGAAAGGAAAAGGTTCTGCCCTTGAAGTAAATGTCATGTTTGTAAGATATAAAATGCGTGAAAATAATACTTTAATATTTCTTCTTTGTTCAAGTGGTATTCATGGTGTCCAGATCAGTTTAGGTGCACCAAAAACCAAGTTTCCCTGTCTAATCCGATCAAAAATAGATCATCTACATCCTTGCCCTTGTGACCTCCAGTGAGGTTGAGTCTTGGTAAACATGATAGGAAGAAAGTTTCTTTATTCATAAGGATGATTTTCATTTCATTTCATTCACCTTGAAATAAAGGCAGCTAATTAACTCCTGATGGAACAAAAAGATCCTTTTGACATTGACAATGTTGACAATGTAACTTTGCACCAGAATGACCATGTTTCAAATTAATTCTTCCAGGATATGTTCCCACAGTTGTATCAGTGACTTTTCCCCATTTTCCTTTTTCTATTTTTGACTCTGCATTAACTTAAAAAAAAAAAAAAGAAAAAAAGAAAAAAAAAAAGAGACATAAAATGGATCTAATCACATTAATTTGATCTAATGCTGTATATTTTTAACACTTGAACAGAAGGAATCAAACCACTCTTAGTATAGGAGGGTCACATGATTTGATCTAAGATTGGTGTGTTTTCTTTTGAAAATAATTACTGAATCAGAAAGCAGAATATGATGGGGTGGGGACCAAAAGAGTGGAGAAAATAATGTTTTAAAGCATAGCTTATAATAATTAATAAACATCATGTCCTTGTGTACCATGTGCCTTCCCCTAGTGATGCAAATTTTGAATTAGTGCTGCTTGGTGTTGTTGTCAGGTTCTGTTCTTGGCATGAGAATGGCACATGACATAGAGAAAGAGAATGAAATATGACTGTCCTTAGTTATGTGTAAATGTGTTGCATGTATCATTAGATATAAGCTAAGGAGAGGATGGGAGGTATGGGATATGGAACAGTCTCCCAAGCACAATCATACTTGTAGAATCATTTTGTTGATCAAAATTTAATTTCAAAAAGCAAGACAGAGTTGATAATTCTATAGTAATTCCTCTAGTACTAGCATAAATAACTTACTCTTAAAAGAACTAAATAATTGAATGTATAATATATTTCTAGATAACTAGTCACGTATTACCATTACAGTTTACTTTTAATTCATTTTTGCTTGTGTTCTCTCACTCCCATCCCTGGAATCAGTTACCTAAAATCCAAATCGAAAGAAACCATATGCATGAAATTGTGTTGTGTTAGACATAAATTTTAAGGTAATAGAGCATGTGTTTCTAAAACAAAATCAACCAGGGGGAAGAAAGGTTTTGAAAGCAAACCCATATCCTGCACATGAGAGAAGAAGAAAGTGGACCCTATAGAATGGTGTACAATGGTTCTATATTTCATGAGACCCTTTTGATTTTTGTACTTACCACACGTGTGAAGGGGTTGGACCATTCAAATACTCCTTAACCCCCTAATCTAACACTATGATGATCGGATCCCAAACATGATTTGTCCTTAATATAATGTCTCTAAGAAGAACTGCCATCCAATCAACGGGATAATTTCCCTATAGCACCGCGCTTCCCATTAGATAAATGATTTTAAGACAAATTTTTTATACTATTTTTTA